CCTCTACATACCTAAAATGATTCACTTGTAAAAACAATTTTAGTGCTTTTTGTGACGAAGAATATTATTTCTCTCAGAATTCTCATGAAATGACTTACCAACCACGTGCATCTTTTAACATGTCACTTGGCACCGTGCAGGAAAAGCAGCCCTACCAGACTTTCCTTTTGAAATCAACAAAATCAGCCACTACAACTACGTTCTGTTTGAATGGAGTGATTTTTTTCTTCTTTTGGATTGAATTACATTTAAAACATTCAGAAAGTTATTACTTCAATACCAAGGGAAGCAAAAGATTCACACAAGGCACAGAGAACAACTTGCTAGTTAAAATTCATATTTAAGCTTACAATCTAGGACCCAGACAGAAGCAAAGTAGAAAAAAAAATTAAAACAAGATGTGAGATAGGAATCTTTAATCAACCTCGTTGTATCAGCCTGGGCCCAGCATTCCATCCAGTCTTCTGAGGTTACCCAGCACCACTTTGAAAATGGATTACTTTCCACCAAAAACAATGCCAAAAAGGGGCTTTAGCTCCCCTGGGGGAAATCAGAACAGCCTGGATCATCAAATGGGAAAAAATTATCATTATCACTAGCAGTCAGAAATGGGAGGAAAGAAAAGGTGAAACCAGATGCAGGTTTTGGACCACTTAATGCCTTAGACGTGCCTTTTGAAGACTGAGGTGGAGTGGCAAAAGCCCATGGGTTTGTGATGCAAAGGAACGTTTGCTTCTCTAGTGGACGATAGAGGTGGACCTGGGGTTTTTCCAAGACATTTGGTTCTTTTTGGAAACAGTCTGTAGCTAGTCCTGGAGAGGGTAAGGCACTGATACAGTATCGTACACTTTCTATTACCAGGTCAGAGGGAATACCAACACATATGAAAGATAATATATATCATCTCATACATGCTAACAGACAAAAAATATATTATTAAGGACTTAATACGGCTTAGTGCATATATGTGTTTGAGTTGGTGTCCCTTGTTTTGGGTAAGAGAAGTTTTCCAACAGTCCTCGCCATCGCCATCAAACCGAGACTCTACCTGCCGGTGATCAACCATAGAGCTCCATGGGGCTCTAGGGTGACAGCTGCCAGCATGAACAAATGCCTCAGGTCCCTTTACAAGCAGGCTAAATATAACTTGCAATACAATGTAAAAACTTAATTCCAACTTCAGCAGCAGAAACATATAGCTGGCAGAAACACTGAGAAAGTGGTGAAATATTATTTCCCAGATGCTGTGGGGTTGAATCAAGGTGTGTCTTACGGCATGTGGTCAGTTAAGGCAACATCCTTGATAGGTTATTTTACCCACTTTAAAAAAGAAGTAAAAATTAAGGAGCAATTCTGAAAGCACTGTTAACTAACATTCATTGACTCCTAGTTTTGTATTCTAAAAAGCAAACTATCTTGCACGAATGTTCCATGCTACCAATGAATGCTAAAAGGAAACTTGGTTGACCTAGATATTTCCTATTTACGAAACTTCCAGCCTCTATAAGATGGTCAGAGCCTTGGCCCTGCTATAGCCCTCTTTTACACTCCTACAGCAGTACACTGCTGACCTCAGTTATGTATTGAAGTTCTCTGGAAGCCAACAGCGTGTAACCATACACCTATAATTAAGTACATACTTGAATGCTTTGTTAAACAGGGAAAGACTGATGAATTGCTGCCTATATAACTAATGATGAAATAGTAGTAATGTACATTTAAATTGGGATTATGCTGTAAATGTTTTATGCCGGCGATCTATTAGCCATTGATGATTGGAATGCGGTCTACAGCCAGCCTGTGACAGGCCACTGGCACACATTGGCGTGGTCACACATGGTTGGATGTGTCTTGCAACGGACCAACGTGGCCCTCAGAACCTGGGATTTGCTGATAATGCTCTTCTCTTTAAATAACGTGGCAGAAGAAGGGTACTGCTAACTTCAAATTTCCAGCCTAACACCTGTATAATACCAATTTGAAACAGGAGGCTTTCTCCCCACTAACAAATGAGTCACCTAGGATTAACTTTCTTCCCGCTTGCCAGTTCCTCACCCTGACAACCACTGGTGCCTCTTACCCAGTGTAAGGGCAGCAGCACTAGTGCAGTCACGTGCTGGAATTTTAATCACCTCCCCAGTAACTTTGTTCGGAGCAAATTTAGACCACAGCACTAAAATTATCAGCAACTTCTGATAATCCATCTATGTAAGCATCTACTGATGCTTAGAAGGGTAAAACTGCAGCAGAACTAGCAATAGTAAGGAATATAATAACAACAATCTAGACAGGCTTTCAGTAAATTGCTTATAGTCCTCCTTTCTCACTAATTTCAAATTTTATTTCCCGCCCCCTTCCCCTATCCCCATACAGAAGTGTCTCTGGGTGCCTGAAGTGAACTTGGAGCCGGGTGCCAAAGTTATAGCTGTTGCAGTGCTAAGTGTAACAGACCCTAAGGTCCTCTGCTGAACATGTGTCCTGCAGTGGACAAGCACATGCAATAATACACTACTTGAAGTGAGCAAGGACCACAGAGCCAGCAGCCCTATGCAAATAGAGCAGAGCAAGTAACAGTAAAGGGTCAAAACCCTTATAGAATCCAAAAAAAAATCAGTGGAAAAGATTCAACCACCTCACTGCTGAGTATATGAAACCTGGTCAGAGCTTTTGAGAAGGCAAGAAACCATGTGTCGCCGCTGTGGCAGCTGAATGGCTGTATTCCTCCTGCATCCTATTAGAGGGATTTGTCCCAAGACTTAATTGGTAATTTCGCTATTCCTTTTTTGTTCAGCAGCGTTAATATACTTTTTGCCGCCTTTGCTGCGGAGAAGGCACCAGCATAGCAGGGCTGCAGATTAGACCGTAGGTGCGTTGCAAATTCCAGGGGTTCATTTTTCACAGGAAGTCAAAACGACCTTTAAGTGCATAAAGCAGCTGTCCCACCACACTGAGAGTAAGCCTGCCATACCTTCGGTTAACTTCTGGTGCACAGGCAGGGACTTAGATCTCTTCCAAGACAGTCAAAGAATAATGAAAAAGCAACTTTGATGCTACCTGAAACCAAACTATTCAAAGCACATCGCCTGCATTCCTCAGCTGCAGGCACTGAGCCAGGACAAGGAGATAATCATTCGGGCTGGCGATGGGGGAGGGAGAAAGGAGCTTAAGGACCCGAGAGCTGAAGTGCTCTGGTCAAGAAAATCTAGATAGAATTTAATCTGCAAAGTAGCAATACAGTCGTGTTTCTCCCCCATCCCTCTCCCATTAGGTGCATTAGAAAATTAAAATAATCACGGACACGGCAATATTTTTTTTCCTTTTTTGTTTGTCTCTTTTATCTGTTCCATAGAAAATTAGGATCTATACCAAGCAAACCATTTCTCTCTCATCTTGCACCCCTTTTCCAACTGTGGCTAACATTCCCTGTTTCAAGAGGGAAAACTGCCCAGCGTAATGCCCAGCCAACAGTGGAATGTTTTACATGAGGGAATTTTCTCCTCATTTCTCCCAATCATGAACCACGCCCTGCAAACCTGAGATTTGATAACCATAATTATCTTACTTTTAAGTATCTATCAATATAGGTACGTCAACCCAGGATGAATCCGTTCTTTCAGTACTGCAGCAACTGTTCTTTGACTTGATAATCTGCTGCAGCAGTGAAGTTTGCACATTGTAGAAAAAATCTGTAGTGGTTAAAAAAGGCCCCAGGGACGCTGAGCTCTTTTTCTCCTTGTGTTATGAAAGCTATCAGGGGAAAGAGGGAGAGCAGCAGCATCTCTATGCCACTACAGTATCCAACAGCAACTTTCTGTGACTCAGCCACTTGAGGAAAAGTTCCTGGAAATTTCTTAGTAATTCTAACTATGGATTCAACTCCACCAATTACGGCAACTTTAAAGTTGTTAACAATAGCTCACATGCCCTGTTCCAGCTGTTGTGTCATACAGATCTATCCCAAGCAGGTCTACACGGCAAAAGCAGCAGCAGTCCTTGCAGGCCTTAATAAACTTCCTAAAGTTGGACAGCCAATAGACTGGAGAACGGTGTATTTGTGGCCTTACCGACCCTACGGCCTTTCAGGATGGCACGCCAGCAGAATCTGTGTTCTGCTTCCTTTTCAGCTTCCAGCAAAGATGGCCTTAAAAGTGGGTTATGCACTATATAAATCACTATTCCACGGGAGACGACCAACCCAAGCGGCATATATTCTGGCATTCAGCTTTTGCCTCCTTGTATGTAGGGACCAACAAAGAACCCCCGGTAGGCAGGTACTAGACTTTGTCTTCTAGTGTTCTTCAAGCACAAGAAGACTTGACACTAGGAAGCATTTCTTTACAGAAAGAGTTGTCAAACACTGGAACAGGCTTCCTAGAGGTAGTCAATGCCCAAGCCTGTCAGCGTTTAAGAGGCATTTGGACTATGCCCTTAATAACATGCTTGAACTTTTGGTCAGCCCTGAATTGGTCAGGCAGTTGGACTAGATGATCATTGTAGGTCCCTTCCAACTGAACTATTCTGTTTTATTCTAAGAAGGAAGTCACTCTGAAGTCAGAAGGAAGTCACACCTCCCCCAGTGCTCAGCCAAGTTCAGCAGTGTAGAATGGTGAAACTACAGAAAAGGATTTGCATTCATAGAATGGAACAGCAGAACAAAACACCCCAAAAAAGTGGTTCCAAAGAATGTCTTGGGAACTGCAACTGCATGACTAAAAAATATTCTCCATGCTCAACTGCAATAGCAGCACAGACAGTAACAAAGGCATCTTTGGTATCTTTGCTTTTAAGAGCAGAGTATATGCCAACAGCACAAAAGAATATAAAAACAGTAGAAAAGAAATAACAGCTCAGTGTGCCCTGGTTTCCATGCAGAGTGTTATGTACTCATTTAGAACCTAACACGCAGTCTGTTTATACGCTAAATGCATTCGTAATACAAATAAAATGTATTTAAAGAACACCAAAAACATATAAAACAAGAATGTTGGAGAATGTCTTACCTTTGACCCAATAAGTGTGTACAGCCATTGGATGGTTTCATTATGATTTATTACTCCATTCATGCCATCAACATAGAGCATAATCTGGCCCAAAGCTATTGTAAAGAAAAGAGATAAAATATAATCAGACCTGGTGAACACTTTTTATAATCCTAAGCATTACTGGCAATTTTCTGTAAGCAGGGTTTTCCAGAGACGCAGGGAGCTCAACTAACGAAAGATCTATTGGGCAAGATTGTGCTGGATAAAATCCTGGGCAACTGCAGTAACTTTACTGACTTCATCTGGATGACATAGGTGTGAATTTCATCCAGGGACAAGCACAGGCACTTGTTCCTTCCTAGAAGATGCCACATTTTATTGCCCAAAAATCTGCAAACAGTATTCTACACACTGCTTACTGTCGCAACAGTTCCATCAGCTACAATGCTTTGCATCTTGTGAGCCAAGACTTTTACCATTTGTTTCAGCACCATATAATGTTTGGAATTAGTATATTTGGATTAAGTTGCTGTTTCAGTGAATTCCAATAATATGAAATTAAAGCAGGGCAATTAACACCAATAAAGACAGCAAATATTCATCATTGCACAGTGCTCTCTTGAAATGAGTTTTGCATTTTAGTGAGAAAATATAACAAAGCATGGTTAATAAAGAAGCATCTTTATTCATTTATTCTAAAGCATTTACAACAACATTTCAAAACATGCTAGTAAAATATTTCATAACAGTAATTCCATAGTTTGCAATCCTGATAGTATGAGACGTTCTAGGGACAACAACTATTAAATCTTTTCTGACTGATAAGGACAGACATTTTTCATAAGGATTATGAAAAGTGGATTAGCAAAATTCATCTATCATCTTCAAAAGTTTCCACTGTTATCTTCTGCTTTATAGCAGGAGATCAAAGCACAGTGGGATGAAAAAGAAATCACTGATGTAACACCTTTCAGCACAGCCTGTTGGCGTAACAACTCAATTATCTAATGCACAACCTGATGAGCCCCCGGTACACCGCTTTATGGAAGGAAAAAAGGGAAAAAAACACAGGGTGAGGAAAATTATGAAGTTATTAATCTTCCAAACACATTCCAAATGTTTGCTAACTTTTGCATAGGTTGTGCACAGTGCAGCATCGTTTTTCTTGAGGGCAGTAAAGACATGAATGTTAGGCAAGCAGCTAACTTTCATTTTTACATTGTCTCTTCCTTCTTCCTTGGTCTAGTTGGTCAACTTCCAGTTAAAAAAACACGAGGTACTAATTTTAGGTACTTATATTCCTTATCTAATCTGTTACACCAAGCTAGAAGCAAAGTCACCCTACACGGTCAACGAAGACGGAGAAAAAGCGAGCAAGAGGGCTACGGCAAGGAGATAACTCGTATCTTAAGCAGGTTGCATTGCCGCTGGGGTATGCCCATCTCTCTCTGCTCCTCCTCTCCAGGAAGCAATCATTCACCACCCTCTGAAGACACGCATCTCAGGTGAATAACATTAGGTGGGAGGGACACAGGCCCAAGTGTTAAGGTAAAATAAAAGATGTAAGCCAGTCAGAGAAGAGAGATAAGACTTGTACTGACTGAATAAATGGCTGCTTTGTAGCATTTCCTTGCAGGTAGAGGAAAGAGAACACTGCTATCCCAGTGGTAATCAAAGTTCTTAATTCTTGTTTTTACTTCCTTTCAGTGCTAAAAAGATTTGGCCCTTGATCAGGATGAGATCCAGTCATGATAAAGTCACCAACCCCCTTTTTTTTTTCTTGCAAATTCTTTGGTTGGGGGTGAAGGGATTTGATTTGAATTTGAAACAAATGTGAAACAAATTTTACTCTTGGCACATGCTTTCCAAATTAATATAGAAATCAAAGACAGCAAGAAGTCTGCTTTTAAAGGGAAAACATGCACACAATACCAAATTACTCCACTGCTTATACTTAAGACCAGTTAGACTGGATGCGTAAGTAATTCCTGACAATTTTCATCTGCTACCACTAACCTTGCCCCCCAAACCCTCCCAACCACCTTTTTTTTTTGTCATTATCAGTGCTATCCCAAGTATATGATACTATTTGTATCTTTCCAGCAACAGAATGGGTCTTTTGGATATAGGTGAAAAATTAGTAACACATGAAAAAAACACTACTGCTGCCACTTGAACAAGTGGCCAGTAAGTTTCACAGCACAAAGACTTAGAAAGAACACCATGAAATGGCCAAGATGAAAGACAGGTTTGCTATGGAGTCATGCTGTCCACATAAAAGTCGTGACTCCAGGAATTATCTGCCACACATGGAATTATTAGCTGCTGATGTGGAGCTTCATATTGCTATTTGCTGTCTTCAGGGGTCAGAAAAATGAAAGCAAGACATGATAGGCAAGGTTGAGGAGATATCAGCTTTCATTATGAGGAAGAGTAAGTTAGGGAGAATCTGGATGTACTTTGTACAAAGCCGATGCCTTATAAATTCTTAGGAAAAGACGTCCACGAGAAAAGTTAAAGAAAGGAGAATGTATACCATGAAGAAGAAAAGGTTACACCTAGCAACCACACAGCACGATAGCAAAATGGAAGATACCACAAAAACGCTAGTGGAGGAGCAGGCTGGTGGGCTGGAGGTTCTTGGGCTCTCCTGGGGCTCAGGTCTGGCTGAGTGGGGCACACCAGTTTTCCACCAGAAGGAGACAGACTGGCTACAGAGAACTCTGCACTGTTTTATGTGCTTTACAGCTTTTCTACCCAACTGATAGCCTACCTCCCGGCCCATGATTGCAGTTTGCTGAAATGGCTGCAGCTACAGTGCAAACTCCATGCGCCCACTGCCCCCCACATGCATGTCTGCATGCACACGCACCCACCAGCAACACGCAGGTCCTCACCCAGAAAGGGCATGCATTTAATTTGCAAGGCAATCTGAGGTTGTTCAGAAGGCCAATCTAGTCCAAAATCATTTAAGTTCGCGTTTGTACGTGCCTTCAACCGAACTCCTTTTTTTTCCACTGAAAAACAAGGAGGCTATCTAATCCATTTAATCCCATCTCTCAGCTAACTGGAATTCTTTTTGGAAGTATATCAACAACCTACTTGCATTAGGAAAGCTTGCTATTGTGCAACAGGGGGCTGGGAGAGGGGAGTTTAAATACAGAGCAGACTTAATTTGGAATTTCTTTGTTCCCACTACCCTTGTCAAACCCTTAATCTTATGTGAAAGTAGTGTGTGACTTTACCCATAGCTATTTTCAAGTGGAAAATTGCTGGATTTCTTAGGAAAGGCTTAGGCTAGAAAAGGACAGACCAGCCAGAAACTTCATAGATTTCTGTGAAATAAGAGGTTTAAGCAAGCCTCTAAAAACTTGCCAGTATTGGCACTGGTACTCTCCTGGGATCTTTCCTGTATAAAGTTAACAGGACCAAAGGGGAAAAACTCTAGCACAAAACATCATCACGATGAACATCACTTTAATTAAAAGTCTATTTTTCCCACCCAGAGTGTCCTGCCCACACACTTGCTTCTCTAATCTGCCCTATCTGCTTCATATTTTACCACAAGACTAACTTAGAGAAAACAGCAGCACTGAATGAGCAGAAACCCTATTTTCTTACTGTTTCCTGTGAGTCAAACCCCCATTTATCACGTCAAGAGAAATGGCAGGGTTGCATCTTATGATTGCATTTGTTTCCATCACAGTAAGCAAATGTACGGGGTGAAGCGGGCCAAAGCCAGACCCCATCGCAGCAGGCTTCAGCTCCCAGGGAAGCTTCTGGCCCGAGTTCATCAGGCACTTCATAACCAGCAGCCGTGGTGCACGCGACATGCTCTATACAACAACGGGCGAGCGTGAATGACATACAGAACTGTGATGAAAGGAATGAGGAAGAACCGGCTGCTAAAAGTATCTTCCTCATTGCTAGTTAAAATCTTATCATCGTGATTTAATGAGAAATTAAGGGTCTGTGCGATTGCTTTCATTCCATTAGGAAACAGATTACTAGCTTACGTATGCTATCTTGGGCACTGAAAAGGCATACTCCATCAAAGTAAACGTCCTCATCAAGAACAAAATTTCACTATCTGCCTAGTGAGGGATCCCAGGAGGGAGATAATGCAGTTATCTATTATTCTATTATGAAGCACCAGATGATTATTCTGAAGAAAAAAAAAAAACTACCTCAAAATTTCTTTCTCTGTGTTTCTTCCCTGGAGAGAAGCAAGAGCTCAGCTGTGAAGTGAGATTGCCCTGAACACAAAATCTCAGCTCAGATCATCCATCAGATGGATGTCGGGAGCTTCTACTTTTGCTTGTAGCACATTCCCACAGAGGATGCTTGCACACGCACCCTCAGGGAAGAGCTTATCGTCTCCATAATGTCCACTGATACTGGATAGTATTTTCCCTGATGAGAAATCATTATTAAATACAACTTTTGTACCACCCAGCTACTTGAAAATTAACAAAATCGCAACAGAGCTCCTTGCTTCTAAGAGGTGACATCAGGTAAAAGAGATGACCTGGCTTCTCCACTGCTTCTGAAAATGATCTTACAAAGCAGCACTGTGCCAAACCTTATGACTCACGCTCATTACACAGGGCTAGAACCAGCTAAAATTTTTAGGATTTTTCTTTTTCCTTCCCCGCTGTTACTGTTGGTATGGTTGCTCTTAGCTTCAGTGCAAAATCTGCTGTTTATACACCTATTCCCACTTCTTTACTCCTGTCAAAGATACCTGTAATGTCACCTAGGAAGATAAAAGCAATCTTATTCCTGGCCACAAATGCATGAATATTTTATTTCTTATCAAAGTTTCTTTAAATCCCAACTCTTTGCTTAATACTTTTTTCAATCCCCTGTTCATTTGTTCTTTCCATTATCACACACATCATGGCTGAAACATGCTAAGAAATTAATTTTCAAAACTCCCATATTAACCATGTACTGAACTTGTATTAACTGTATTAACCAAGAACTGAACTTTCTCACAAAAAACCACATCATAGAATTAAAGTTATAAGCTGAAACTGCAAAGACAGTAAATATATTGTGTTGCTAAAGTAAATCTGAAGTTTCTATGCTAGCTGACACCAAAGTCTAGCTT